TCTTATTTCCACCTGAAAAAGTATTCACTTCATTCTGTCTCTCTTGACAGATTTTTCTTTATTACCTTGCAGCCTTAGACTCCTCTTTTATCCTGGGCTATATTTGTAACTGTTGGCTTATTCTCATTGGTATTCTCAAGATGTTTTTATTTTTACTCCCTGTTCTTACAGATAAGTATTCTTCTACAGACACTGGTACAACTACCTTAGTTGCTAGAAGCATTTCTTTGGCATCTCCAATAGAGTTACAACATTTCAGTGTTTTCCAACAAAACAAATCCATGCAAAGAAATGTACCTCACAGGATACCTGCTGGCACTGTTCCTCACTTTCGCCTTCATCCTTTGCTCAGATCAGTGTTTTCAAAAAGGGAGTAGGTTTGGAAATTAAATTCAAACAGAGCTAACAGAGTTCATCCAGGAAACAAAGAAAGCAGTTCAACAGTGGAAAACAGATTTGTATTCTAATAAGGTTTACCCATTATTTAGAATTGAAGATGTACTCAATCATACCCTCAGCAGCCATGTATGTTACAGGAGGGCCTGCTCCTTTATGGTAATTCCCTTGGCCATTTTTTACTCCTCTATGCTAAGCATTTTGTTACCCTTTACCTCTAAGTGTGCCTAGAATAAGATGCAAGCTGTGGGAAAAAGTGTGAGCAATTAGAAGATGTACTGAGTACTTAAAAAAATAAATTAATAACTGGAAAAGGACAGGAAAGGAGAAAATGATTGAAAGTGAAACTGACACTTGCTTCAAATCCTGTTTTGGCCAATGGAAAGAACTGGTTTCTGTGTTTTAATTGACACAGGAGTAACCACCAGAGAGATCTCTCACCTCCAGGCCAAGATTTCTTACATTCCTTTGAAATCCGCAGGTTAAAATGAAAACATAATGAAGAACCTACTTGGGAGCATCTGAAAATAGCAGAGTAATCATTAGTAATAATCAGAAATCCATGTTTTTTAGGACCAAATGAATCCTATTACCAACACTCCCATTACGTTGATGGCTTACCATTCTTCAGTGAATAAAATTCCATAACTTGATCCCTACCCAGTCATTCTTTCACTCACATGTATAAGTACAGGATATGCTGAGGCAAAAAACTTACTGAATGGTAACTCAATGAGAAAAGCTTAAGAAAAGAAATAAAATAAAATAAAATAAAAAGGATCACCTTCAATCTATAAACCCAAGCAATTAATGAAATGGTACTTCATTTAACAGTAAAAACTGATCCTTACCTCTTGTGCCTTTCTGCAAATGCATTTAGTTGCTCAGCACGCTCCTACATCTCCATGCTGTAAGTTTCTAAACCACCACTTAGGAAATGCACTGCTACAGTAAACCAGAGCACTCCATACCACGAATCTCTTCCAGCCTCCCATCTTTCACCTGCTTTACAACCTGCAGCTCTGCCACATCTTTAGTGAACACCTGCACTTATGTTTGTGGCTTACCTTTAAAGGTCAAAGGCACAAACAGAACATTATCTATTCTCAGGAATATCACTGAATGAATACTTCCCACAGCGAATACGGAACACTATGCTGCAGATGATGCTTCATCCAGATCAACTTCAGTGGCCTGAAACATTTTTCTACCACTTCCATGCCTGTCACTGCTGCAGTCCCCTTTGCTTTGGAGAGATTTGGAGAGCTTGACATCATTCAATATTGCGTTCCTCCAAGCCTGCTCTTCTGCTGTTTGAAAATACACATCTGCCTTTCCTGTAGAGGAATTTCATGCAGGTGTTGAGCATTTCAGTTTGAATTCTCATGCCATCCACACTGATTAACTTCACACTGTGAAATTGGGATTTGCTGAAGACAGTGAGTCTCTGTAGAGCTCCTCTGTCCCTGGAGGTGTTCAAGAAACATGTAGGAGTTGTACTGAGGGACATGGATTACTGGGCAATATTGGTGGTAGGTAGATGTTTGGACTGGGTGATCTTAGAGGCCTTTTTCAACTTTAATTATTCTGTAGTTCTATGATTCTATAACGTTGACAGGGGAATTGTCCACATTACTTGTAAAATGACAACATGAAAACTCAAGTTTGTGACTTTCAAATTGATTTGTCTCTTAACTGAATACTAAAACCAAAATTACTTACTTAATAAGCATCCATTTATTTTCCTGAACTGATAGGATAGATGTATTAGTACTGTGCACAGAAATTTCTAGCAGGTAGGAAAAAAAAAACAAGTACTCTCTCCAATACTGAGTACAACAAGTAGGAATATTCTTTCAATTACGGCAAGTTTAGAGAAAGCTACTCTTGCTGAACAGAGAAAAGCATTGTGGTTTTGTTGGTTTCTTTTATTTTTCAGAAAAAAAAACAATTTCTGGTGAATTCATACCAAATACTTTGTGACATTACTTACTGTGAAAACAAGCTCCAGTAAATACACTTTTGCAGTAACACAAATCATTTAAACAGGTTTAGCTGAGCCAGAAAAAGAAACAAAACCATCCATGGTTTCACGTTTCTTCCTTCTTTTAAATTAAAAAAAATAAAAGCCTTTGACTATTAGTTTGAAATAAAATATCAGTTTTCTAAAACAATTTTAGAAGCTTTTTTCCTCCATAGCTGGCTTTTACGGATAGCACATTCATTTAAAGCCTAGGGGCAGTTTTATTTTGAAGCTGTGATACAAATCAAAGAAATGCAAGAGTTGATTTTTGAAGACCATTACTGTAACATCGTTATTGACTGCTATAAAGGTAATAAGTGAGATCCAGCATTCAGTGATTTTGATTTCCGCCTCCTATGTGCATCCATTTCTTGACGGAAATAGAAGCAACCCCCACATTTTTCAAATACAAAATATTCAAGCCCATATAAAAAAGATATATATAAATACATGAGGAAATCACAGGAAAGGAATTTGGGAGATGTAAGTGCTTTAGCCTGGTTTTCTATTCTCCTGCTTTCGTACTAACTGGAGATGGCCATTATTATCCACTGCAGGCAGACTTACAATCAATTCCTACATTTTTCTGTCCATGTGATAGTGATAGAGATGTTAGAAATGGAGAGTCCAGAAGGAAAAGGGGCAAAACATACTTCTAAAAATTCTAGGCTGGCAGCTTAACGAGCTATTAGGAGTTTTGCTTTGGTTTCTAAATGAGAAATAACTTTGCATGAGAAAGTGCAGATTCCACAGAACTAGGAAAAATTACATACACCCATCAGTTAAACATTCATCACATTGAATGAAACAGTTATCTTACTCTTTAAAGCTCAGACTTAAAGAACTGAGACCATATCAGAATAGGTAAACAATTCATCCAGACCAAAATATCTTCTACGTATCTGTTGATCTTCATATCTACATATCTACGTATCTAATATCTTCAACAGAGAATGTTAAATAAAACCAGCATACAAATCACAATAATATGTGAGTAGTCATGAATACTGTATTATGTAATCCCAATAACTCATTTGTGAACAAATCTGCCCTATTTCACTGATCCTTACCATCCTTATCTGCATAGTTTTTTTCAAAAATCAGTGAGATAACCTGAAGGAGCAAACATGTACTGGTGCTGGGATGCTGCCAGGATTGTAGAATTGTTACTGATAGATTTAGTACTTTAGTTTTTTACTGTTGCAATGAAAAAATTCCACAGTTTCGATCCTCATGCAAAGCAAGTTTTCTCTACTCTCCACTGGCAGATCACTCTGAAGTGACTCCACTCGTGAGATGAGCAGAGTGTTTTCTGTTGAATTATTTGCTGCTAACTACTGAGGATGAAAGCGCTTAACAGAAATGGAAACCCTGGTTCCCAAGTCATTCCTGGGGAGAGCAACAGAGAATTTTCTCCAGCTAAGCACCATCTGCTGAACTCCCTGAAATAACGAATGCAGTTCAGAGTCATTTATTTGAGGACAAAGCTTACTAATTAGACAGCAGTACCACAGCAGCAGAGTGCTTTTTCATTCAGGAACGATCCGCAATATGTTGATAATACTGTCTTTTATATATTTTGGACTAACAACAGTTCAGAACTTCAGCAGATACCAACTACCTTAATGCCTCAAAGCTCAGTAACACGCAGCTGATGCACACCACCTGCAGGGAATTCACTTACAGTTGTATGTTAGGACTTTTTACAAGGGGATACCAGGACTGTCCTTACAGAAACACTGGTTTCGCATTCTGTCCTTGAGTGGTAAATAAATTACTATGAAGCATATTTTGCTAAGCAACAGTTGATCTGTGTCAAAGCACTGCCATCAGCTTTTAATGTGCGTAGCACATTCACTCTGAACACTTCTCCCTGAGGATTATACTCCTCAATATGTGAAACACTAACAATTAAAAATTAAACCTGGCTGGCAGAACATCTTTGGCTTTTATCGTCCTCAGTGTATCATCTGGCCACCAGTGTTCATCAACCTCTGATTACAAAAATTGATATTGCCCTTCAGAATAGCTAACAAGTCAAACATATGTGCTCAGTTCTGTCAATCAACTGCTTCACTAGGGAGCAGTGATAAAAGCCAGTGGCAAGAATAAGCCTCATCCCCAAAACATCACCACACTGTTCAAACAGAGTCCAACAGGGCCAGCTGGTGGGTTGTGCAGTTCCATGTGACCCTGAGCAAAAAATGCAAATCAGGAAAGCAACAGTCTCACAGAGTTGTGTTTTGTTTCCTTGCTAAGCTGCACAACTGTAGAAAAGCCAGCCATGCATGCCATGCTTCCCTATTCCTGTACTTCACCTGTCACTGGGAAGTCAAGAGGTTTCCAAAAATGTTGCTGTCAGAAAGGAGCTGTATCACTGACTTGTCACCTTTGGGAATCATCATTTCACAAATGCAGCCTCCGTCCAGAATTACAAAGGCCAGGCTGACAAAAATGTACGAGTTACTGCTTTGTGGAACTCGTAATTATCACCTTTGCTGTTGAGAGGTATAGGTCACTTACAGGGGTTACAGATTTTCCCCTCTTGGGTGCAGAGTATTACCAGAACGTTTTTGCTTACCGGAGGATCTTGATCCTCAGCTGAAACAGTAGTGATAACAGTGCCCTTGACAGCATCGGGAGCAACCATTCCTCTGTAGAGTGTCTTGCTAAATACTGGCGAGTAATCATTCATATCCTGCAAAACACAATTAAGAGTTTACTTCTGAAGTTTAAACAAAGCTATAGACACGTTCACAACTGATCCTTCAAACACTACCTGACTGCTCCTTCCTCATTTGGAAACCTATTCGCCATTCACAGCCTCTTTGTAGCTCTCAATTCCATTACTACCATGCAGAAGTAGCACAGAAGGAGCCAAGTTTCAAAGCAACATATTCATATGAGACAGATCAACAGAAGGGAATTCTGCAGGAAAATACAGTCTTACAAGTAAACCAAGCAGAGATTTCCGTGACAGCTGCTTCTCAAGCAGAGGGCCACAACATGGTTTTGCTAAGTTTCTCAAATGAATGAGCTTGCTGTTGCTTGATGGCACGTAACTACAGAGGTGCTGCAAATGCTCACACTGTCTAGTGTGCTATGTTATCATTTAAAACATTCATCCACACCTCATCAGGGGAAATGTCAGTAATAAACGTCTGTGAAGATGAGGAAATCACTGCTACAAATCCATGTAATATGAGGCTGGATAATTAATGCATTATGTTCTGCTGCAGGGTCTGCAATTCAAGGCTTCAAGGCATTGGAAATGCTTTTTTGCTGATTTTTAGATTTTCAAAGAGACAATTGGACCATCAAATTAAAATAAAAAGTGACAAGTAGGCAATTCAAACTAGGAGAGCCTTCTAATGAAAAGATTTCAGAAAAGCATCCAAATTCAAACAAATTAGCATTTCTTTGTGGAATTACAGGCATTGCATCTTTCACTTTCAGTGTCTTGATCTGTTTGCAAGAAGATAATTTGCTTAATCTGAGAATCTAAAACCAAGGACTATTTTACAGGACCAATTTTGCTCCTCTCAACTCTTCAAAGTGATGCCATCTCTTCAGAATTAGCTGTCCTTTGTTTGCTTCTTCTCTCAGAAACACCAGTGCAGAGCAATGTAGTGTTGTGGCTAGAAGCCAACACCACCCAGCAATCCCAGTCTGTAAGGTGCCATTCACAGCCCATTCGACCACAGAGAAAAGATGCAGAATGAGTTTGTTTGAAGTGGACACAAAGGTATCTCTGAAAACCTTGGCAAATGAAATCTCCGTATTAAAAGCAATCTCCAGTATGATACGAGGAATCTCCTACAATGCTACATGCACAGGTATTATGACTGTGTAAATCTGTTTACTTGGGAATGTAATGTTTTGTAGATTCTGGAAGTTTTTCAGTGGGATACACAGACTTTTATAAACAGCACGTGCACAGAGAAGACACCTTCTGTCCTTCCATAAGAATACCCCATCTGGGCTAACAACCCAGTACAATGCTTACAATGACTTGATTTTTCCTGGAATAACCCATCCCTTTATTTGTCTTTAGAACAAAATAAGACAACAAAATCACAACCTCCTCTTTCTCCTGGCCGCCAACCTCCAGCCATACCTGGTCTCTATTCCTCGGTGCAGCAGCACTGGATCACGCTCAGCTGTATGCTCATTGCGGGGGAATCACCGTGATATTTTTGTTATCTTTTGTGTACCTTAGCTCCTGACAGTCTGCAACTTAAAGTGCTGGAAAGGCTAATCCTGTTGAAAGATGATACACTACATGCTCTGCTATAGAAAATGACCAAGCCATTCTACTTACTATATCTGTTTTTCAAGATACATGGATCACCAGAAAATATCCAGGAATACAAAGCGAAACATAAAGCAGAAAGGCAGAAAGCTTTCTGTCCTAACTTACCTTTCCTCTGAGTGGAGCTTTATGCATGACTGTGCCTCATAAGCCCAATCCAAGACAACCAAATAGACACCAAACATTTCAGTCATCCCTAAACAGAACAGCTCCATGTGCTTTTCCTTGCGGCTCATCTCCTGCTTAATCTTAAAGCAGCCACCTGTTCTACGTGGCAGAATTTCAGCTTATGGCCTCACTTTTATCAGAATGAAAGTTCCCCCATAAGAATGACATGCTCCCATCACACAGCTGCACTATGCACTGCAGTGAGAGCACGACTGTGATTGCAGGCAGGTAATCAGGTCTCTCACGTACCAATCATAAATCTCCATGACAAGGAATGGCCAGAAGCAAGCAGAAGGTATGAGTGGAGCAGGCAGACGATGTGGATGCAGGCTTTACTGACTGTAATGGCTTCTTTATTCTAGTAGAAGTCCTTGTTCAGTGTGGGGGGTTAAAAAAAAAAAGAAAAAAAAAAAAGACTTCTGGGCTATTTCCCATGCAGCAAGAAGTGGTTTTGTTACAGGTACGTTGGGGCATTTCCTCTGTACGTTATCATCTCCTTCAGCAATTAATGTTTCTCCTCGTATGCTATGGGCACTTACAGGTACCAAAAAGGTCACAAGGAACAAAAAGCACCGAGGATGGACTACCATACAAATCTCATTTTATTAGGAGTATGGGAGGATACCAAACTCCATACTTTAAGATGAACTTAAGAGATCACAAGCACAATCCTCCCAAGCCTTGTGGCCTCTGCAGTTAGACTTCCCCTTGCATCACAGTGGACTTCACAGCGAATGCTGCACAGCATGGAGGACTCTGATACAGAGATAGAACTTTCAAGTTCTCATGACAGAAGAACTCTGGATAAAAATATAACATTTTAGAGCAAGTACTGGGTCTTTGACATGACTTGAGACCAAGGACATGGACAGACATGCTCTTGCACAGCTTGCACTGAAGATGACCTTATAGATGAAGGCTTCTGCCTAAACTCCACAAGAACTTGACTTTGCATTGGAATGTACGTGGCTTATTGGTGCAATCAATAACTACAGGTTAGGGATGGAGTGGTAATTTACCACAAAGTGATAACAACAAGCAGTGTGTTATTGCGGTGCATGTGCTCCAGTGGTCAAACTGTGCAAACATCTTACAACTATTCACATTCCCTTGCTTCATTCATATAAATCCAGGCTGCTATTGACTATCAAGTACACACAAAAACGTAAATGGAAAATACAGGTAATGTGCTCTATATATCTTGCTTTGAAATACTTGGGCTGTGTATTTTGACAGTAAGGTAGCAGCCACGTATTTATATATAAGTACAAAATTGCCCTTGTGTCACTGCTCATCCAGCCAAAGATTTATTATACTTCTGTGTGCCTTTGTTTGCACAAGGACTCAAAGTCAAAGCATAAAGAAAACAAAGCTTTCTCCCTATTACAGTTTCCCTTTACCTAACACTTCTGGCTCTGTATCACATTGCTCATGCTGGGCAGCATGTAAGAGCAATACAGCAGAAGTTTTTGCATCCTTCCCTTTCAGAAAGAGTAAGAATCTAAAGCACAAAGAAAGCACAGTATAGGAAGCATACAGACTCCAATACTGTCATTTTTGAGGATTCACACATGTGAATCCCAAAACTAAATGAAAACGTAAAGAGATTTCTTGATGCCAACTCATTTGTTGTCTCAGACATCACTCTCAACTCCAGCCAACTTCCTTACACTCTGAACAAGACACATCACATTCAAAAAAATCAAAAAGATGTGTGCAAATACTGACTGATCTACAGATATTATGAGAATGATGAACAAAAATGCTGGTGAGCTAAGACACCAGGAATGTCAATGGGGAGAAAAAAACATGGGGGAAGAAAGGCATGGAGAAGCAAATCAGTAAGTAATTTAGAAACCATGAAGGCAGTCACCGGCAGTAATGCACTAAAACCAAGGTAGGTGCTCCTCGACAGGTGGTACTGCCAATGTGGGAGGGCAGTACACAACCAGTGCAGAAGAAAAAGATCTGCAATACAGCATTCCGAGCACAAAATTAACTTGTAAACTTAAACAGACTTCAGAGATAACAACATACATTAGATTTATGGGGACACTGGAAGATGTTTGTGCTTCACCAAGTTAAGAATGTTTATTCAACATCTGGGTGTAACGTTCTGCTCTTCCTCCAGTTGAGAGAGGGAAGATTTAGGTTGGATGTTCTTTACTATGAGAGTGGTGAGGTGTTGGAACAGCTGCCCAGAGAGGCTGTGGATGCCCTGTCCATCCCTGGAGGTGTTCAAGGCCAGGTTGGATGGGGCCCTGGGCAGCCTGGGCTGGTATTAAATGTGGAGGTTGGTGGCCCTGGATGTGGCGAGGGATTGGAGATTCATGATCCTTGGGGTCCCTTCCAACCTGAGCTGTTCTATGATTCTATGATTCTGTGGATTCAAATATCTGCTTTCTTTGCATCATCACTGCCCCTCAGCACTACCCGCAGTACACACAGAGCAGAAGCTAGCCTAGCTCAGCCCATTCTGCACCTCCTCCACCATGGAGCCACGGCTGTTCCTGACAGGCACAAACAGGGAGGGTGCTAATGCTCCTGTGTGACTGTGCATTGGGTTCTACAGATCCATCTGCTAAAGGATATCCAGTTCCATGTATAAAAATAAAACCCTACACTTCAAAAACATACCCTGAGCAGCAAAGCCTGCAATAGTCAAATGTGCCAAGAGCTGCTATGGCAGCACCAAGACATTTGGGCAATTCTTGACATAATTAAAGTGCACTGGGATCTAATGTAAGTGATGGGATCAGGACACAGATCCTGCTCACTCTAGTGAACTACACCTGCAGCTCGTCATTGCCTCTCATTTCAATTAATGGCAGGCAATATTACAGTGAGAGATTTGACTTATTTGAGCATCATTAATGAAGACTTTCTGAAAAATAATAATAATAAAAAAGAGAAAATGGATTTTGGTAGAAACCTTGTTTTTCATCAGCTTGACACAAACAGAAGTACCGTAAGGTGACACTCCAATATTATTTTATATATTTACACAAATATACATGCACCTACATAAATATATGGATACACATCTGCATCTATCTATCTCAGTCATAATCATCTGTGCTTTAAAAGCCCTTTCATCATGCACAGGAAATCCTGCTGCTGCACTTGACTTCTGCAGCCTGCAGCCCGCAGTGCACTAGGGGGCAGCCCTACCAAGTAGGAGCGAAGCTTCTCCTCCAGCCCTTATAATAAAAATCAAC